TCAATTATTCTTGTTATTTAAATTTTATAAACTTTCTCTTTGTGGTCCTTTTTTGTTCTATTCATCTTCTCCATCTCCCATTAGTGGCTTCTTTCTCTGATGTTTGCATCTGTGTGCTTGATGAGAAAATCTGAACCATTATTCTCCTCCACTTGATCCATTAGTGGACGTTGATTGATAACAAAATGACCTCAAAATTTATTCGCTTGGTAATTTTTATATATTGGAAATATGAAATTTAAAAATATAAAAATTCTCGAAACATCTATAAGAAAAATGGTCTATGCATGGAGTAGTACTCTTGTGATAAGAATTCAAGAAACAGAAACTGGACATTTGCCAGATCCACATATTTTTACATGCAATAGAAGTGGTTTTCCTTTCTCCATTGGATTTTGGTTGTTTTCTATGATCTTCATTCGTTGTCGTTACGTTGAGCATAGGGAATTTAATTTCATTATGACATTAATCTACATGCCTTTTGCTCTGTGCTTGGGTAATTGGGGAAATAAGAGAATATCAACATATTGCATGTTTCGGTCTTGTAATATTTTGTACATTTTTGGATTATGTCCGAGTCGTCCGCCTCTCAGTTCCATTGTTACAGTATATTTCTAATATTTGCATTGAAGTATGATTTTTGTTTTTTTTGAAGCCAACACATATGCATCTAATGATCTCCTGTGCATATTGTTTATTGGTTGACAAAATAAATTTGTTTTAAAATATCTAATATATTCGGAAAACAAGAAGCAGTTTATTACTTTTTTATGGATCCACCCCTTATTATTTTAACTAGTACTCTCTCCTATTCACAATAAGTGACCAATTTGTTTTAGGCACGCACATTAAGAAAATACTCCACTAAATTCTATACAAAAATACCTAGTATGACTAAACAACCCTTAATTAAATATTTAATGTGAGGAGTAAGAAAACTTTTTAGGGATATGTACATAAGGGTAATTTTGTAAAAATAAATTGAATTTTTTCTTGATTATATAAATGGACACTTATTTTGGACAAAAATAAAAAAGCAAATTAGTCACTTATTGTGGACCGGAGGGAGTAGTGTATTAATTAAGTGAGACGCTTAAAAAAGAGTTAAAACAATTATTAAGACAAATACTCTTACAATTAAGGAACGGAAGCCTTGGAGTAATGATAATGTTGTATCATGTGACCTATAGGTTATATGTTCGAGCCGTGAGAACAACCATTAATGCTTGCATTAGGGTGGACTGTCTACATTCATAGTCCTAGGGTGCGGCACTTCCCCAAACCCTGCATGAGTGCGAAATACTTTATGCATCGAGCTGTCCTTTTTTTGCTCTTATAATTAAGACTATAAAATATTCCATCTTTCTTAAGAACTAGTATGAAAATATACTTCTAAAATAACATAAAACATAGACTAAAAGCAGGAGAGAGAGAAAGAGAGGGGGGG